TAAGTTCATCAGGTCCTAGTGCCAATAGTGAAGACTTATAAGGATGCCTTCAAGGACCAGGTCCTCCAAACTCTGCCCGGCTGGTACTCTGGCCTTCTTTGTGTCCTCTGTCTGTGTATAAGCTGTGGGGGTAGGCTGCTTCCACGTGGCATGTGTGTGTGCAAAGGGGTCTTTCCTTCAGGTGGGAGCTGCACCTGCAGCCCTGCTTCCCAGAGCAGGTCTGGTGCTCTTCCCGGGGTCTCTGTAATGGGGGCCTTGGGGAAGGGCACACTCCCCAGCACAGGCCCACCTGTCCACTCAACCTTCCAGAGAGCCTGGGCCGCCAGCAGCCTTAGCTCATTAGATCCTGTTCCCTGGCCTCTGGGAATGATCATTTGCCCCACAAACAGCGCTCAGCACCTGCCTTTAGCTTTCAGCTCCTGCCTTAGCGGACACACAGGGATTCATCTTAGATCTCCCTGCTCCTCTGCCTGGTACACGGCGAATTTCATCAGTTCTAAGATGTTCATTTTTTCTGGATTTAACATCTCTGGAATCAAATGTGTCTATAGCCAATGGTGTGGTGTAGCCTGTGCCTCAGCTTTTTAGTGATACATAAGATAACACTTCTTAGCATCAGTGCGTTTTAAATCCCCAAATCTCACATGTGTTCCTTAGACATCCTCCACTGAGAATCCTTTTCCAGATTCTCCCACGAGTTATTCCACTCTGACTTTTGATGATATTTTCATATCCCTTTTCCATATGCCTAATGGCTTGTCAACCATTAGCTGTAAATTCCCTGACAGGATGACACTTTTCATGACTGCTTTAACCAAATGAAGTTCAGTTAAGAACTCTTGCATGGTGTCAAATTATTTTTGTTATTCTGCTCACTTTTGGTTTCAAGTCTATTCCAGTTACTAAGGAGGCTTGGCTGCGCTGCTCAGATGTTTCTTGTTCAATGATGCTTGAAAGAGATCTTTTAACATGGGGCTTTGTGAGAACAAGGGAATTTATTGAAAAGATTTTAAAACCCCTTTTGTTAAACTCTCTATAAATTTGCTAAATAGCTTAAGGCATACACACATTCTCTGCGCCCAGATTTCTACATGTGTGCAGTGCATATGCACACAGACAAGTACACATGGAAAGACAGAGAGGGAGAGCCAGGATCCTAGGCAGAGAGGTAGATGAGAGAGGTGCGTGGGTCCTCACTACTAACTTGGAGTCAAGCACCCAAGAACAAGGGCTTAGGAAAGATCTGAGTCTGTCCCAGTCTGGCTTATCCTGCCTCCTCTGCTCTCCTTCTTACCCATAATCCTGAAGACCTTCAGGTTAGGCCATCCTACAGCCTCCTGTGCAAATCCCAGCCACAGTATCCAGGCTGGAGGCAGGTGGGTCAGAAGCAGGTGCAGCCACGCTCAGCCACACCCACCTGCACACCACTGGGTGGGCTCTCCACCTTCCTCCCTATTTTTCTTTTCTTTCTTTCTTTTTTTTTTTTTTTTT